GAACTAAGTGGAAGGCAAAAACTGACTCCTAAAATTTACTTTCTGACCTCTGCATGAGTGTAGTGGCATGCTTGTAGACAACAATCACATCACATCACACACACAGAAGCATACACACAGGCACACACAGAAACACATACACAAACACACACACACACACACACACACACACACACACACACACACACAGAGAGAGAGATGAAGCAATTTTAAAAAAAATGAAAAAGAAAGTAATGGTGATTTTTGCCGTGACGTAGATGGAAATAAGTCACTAGCCATGGTGGTACATTCCAGCACTCCAGAGATGGAAGCAGGCTTTTTGGGAGTTCAAGGCCATCCTGGCCTACACAGCAAGTTTGAAGTCAGCCGGGATCACAGGAGACCCTGTCTCAAACAACCAGAAAGAATGGAAGAATTTAAAAGTGTGGGTGAGCCTAATGGTGACCCAGGTTGTGAACACCAGGAAGCGTGGCAATGCCTTGGAGAGGATAAATTACCAGCAGAGGTGGGAGAGGAGAGGCCCAGCAGTGATCAGGTGAGTGAGTCAAAAAGTATAGCTGAAAACCTACACAAGATCCTCCAATGAAAGGGAAGGCAGTGGCCATGGGGACAAAATCATGGCCGGCAAAAGCCTAGGACTACAGGAAAAGCCCAGGATCCTGGTTGATCTGAGCCTGAACCTTGGCTCCTTATTTAACAAAGTTGAAGCAGAAACAATTCTAGAGTGGTAAGCTTGAACATTTATCTTCCTTGTGTTAATCAGTACTTGACAGACCGTAAGAAGGACAGAGTCTTAGAGACCAAGTAAATTAAGAGTTTACATATTTTCTGTTTGTTTTATTTTTTCAAGATAGGGTTTCTTTATATGGACTTAGCTGTCCTGGAATTCACTCTCTTTGTAGACCATGCTGGCCTTGAACTCACAGGTATCCGCTTGCCTCTGCCTTCCAAGTGCACAGATTAAAGGTGTGCACCACCACCTAGCTATTTTTTTCTTTTTAATTTGGCTTTAGCAGCATGCCAGTTGCTCTTCCAGATAGCATTAGTACAGTCCTGGTCTGTCTCTCCATGCCAGAGTCCCACCACCAGCAGGGAGACAGCACCCCTAGGGGCTTCCCTCAGGGTGCCCTTTCCCCTTCTGTGCCTCCACCTATTCTTTATATCTGAAGCTATGGTCACCAAAGAGGTTGCAGCCCCCAAGATTGGCACCTCCCAGCTGACCACCTCAGGTCCTCTGTTTGCAACTTAACTTGGCCCTTTTGGGGTCAGTCTGCCATTTCTAGATGTTTTCCCCATTAAGTAAAAATCTATTTTTTTTCTTTCCTTCAAACAACCAGTCTCTCCATTTTCTTTATAATGAAAGAGGGGGTCACATCTCCTTGTGTATAGGACCTCCCTTTCCCCTTATTTAAGATGTCACCGACTCTTTCCCACGGTAATGCTGTGAAGTCTTTTACCTTGTTCTCTATGGCATGCAGGCCTGGGGCCTGGGACAGTGGTTCTGAATTTCTACATTGTTTCTTCTTCCACTTCGGGTACTTGCTGAGGCGCTAGGGCCCTCTGAATGTTTCCTCTCTCACCCACCCCAGTCACTGTCTCTTTAGGTCTGAGACCCTGATTTTTAAGCAATTTGGTCTGGGGTCCTTTTATTTATTCTGTTGGTTTTTTTCTTTTGGAGGGAGGAGATAAGAAAGCCAAGAAAATAATAAAGCCAAGCATAGTGAGTGGCGCCTGCCTTTAATCCCAGCACTCAGGAGGCAGAGGCAGGCAGATCTCTGAGTTCAAGGCTAGTCTGGTCTATAGAGTGAGTTCCAGAATAGCTAGGGCTGCTACACAGAGAAACTCAATCTCAAAAAAACTAACTAAATAAATAAATAATAAAATAAATATAACTAACTTACTAAACATAAAATCAGTTCAGCGATTAGTATGCCAGCTTACATGTTTGTTGCTTTTAGGATATGTGGGCATGGTAAAAAGCATTAAACAAGAGTTTTTAAAATAGGCCCCAGAATATTTTAAAATTGTCATAGAGATTCCTTAATAAAATACCTAGCTTGAGCCAGGCAGTGGTGATGCATGCTTTTAATCCCAGCACTCGGGAGGCAGAGACAGGCGGATCTCTTTGAGTTCGAGGCCAGCCTGGTCTACAAGAGCTAGGTCTAGGACAGGCTTGACAGCTACAGCAAAACCCTGTCTGGAAAAAAAACCCACCCAGCATGTGCAAAGCCCTTGGTCCAATCCCCAATACTATTTTTTCAGAAGACACCAGGAGTCTCAGAGAGTAAGGGCCCTCTACCCTCCAGCTGAGGCTCTTAATGAAAAGCTAAGCTTTGGTGGCCCTGAGATATGACATTTCGTCTTCAGATCACTCTCACAGTCTATCTGATATACCACACAACACACACCCAAAGAAATGATCCAGATCTGTGTGTCCATCAAGATCAGTCAGAATCATCAGCCACCAGCTCATCCTCCCTCTAGACCTCAGGGACTCAGCCTAGAATTTATCACTGGAACTGAGACTCTTTACAAAACAATTTAAAAAGTATCTATTTAACGCCATGGTGATATTCCGGTCAGAGCTGCAGCCGAGGGTCATGTCTGGGTCCGTGGTCCTGATGCAGTCAGGGTCTGTGTTGATGTCTGAGGTTCCTGTTACAATTGAAGGCCATGTGGAAGCCAAGGTCTGGGGTCATGCTAGTGTCTGAGGGCCACACTGCTACCGGGGCTGTGCTGATCTGAGTGGCCTGCACTGCCATCTGGGGCCACGGTGACATCCAGACCTGGCTGCTGCTCAGGACCATGTCTGGGTCCATGGTTCTACCACGGCTGGGGTCTGTGTTGAAGTTGAGGACCATGTTGTCATATGGAAGCCCTGGGATGGGGCTACAATCTGTGGCCTTGTTGGGGTCTGGGGACCCTGCCACCGCCAGCGTCATCCTGATCTGAGTGGCCAGTGCTTCCATACAGAGCCAGGATGTCATCTAGGCCTGAGATGCTGCCGAGGGCAATACTGGGTGGGATCTGTGGTCCAGGTGCAGCTGGGGTCTGTGTGGATGTCTGTGGCCTGTGTCATCTCAGGTGGCCATAGGAAACATGTGTGGTGAAATCAGAGGGCCATGCTGAGCTGGCTCCACCCTTTGCTGGCCCAGGGAAAGTTGGCCCTGCCTCTTACTGGACACTACAGCAAGAGAGCTGACCCCGATCTGCACAGTAGAGCTCCCCTCCCCCTCATACACACACTCCAGATACATCCTCCCACCCCATCAAAAGTGAAGGAGAACCGACCCTGACAGCATGGGTATAGCGGTGCTGGCTCCAACGCTCATCTGAGTGGGTAGCCTCAGTATCCTGGACTGGCCAGCTCAGCTACCACCCAGGCGCACCCTAACATCTACCCCATCTAGGGCCTGCTGCAGCTCATGAAGGGACTGGTCTTATGGAATAATACCTAAAGGATCTCCATGATTTGGGGCATCCGTGGGATACTCCAGAGGAGTTTCAGTGAGGATCCAGCGACGGTGGTGTGCCAGAAACCAGAGGCCATGAACCAGACCAGTGACTCATTGCAATGATCATTTGCTAGTAAAGCTGATTGGACGAAAGGGTGAACTGTGCGCCACACCGTAGCTTCCACTGCCATTGGGATGAATGAAGAGGTGTTGGAGGGTGGAAAAGGGTTTTTTAATTGTTTGTTTGGTTTGCTTTGCTTTTTAAAAAAATTTCTTTTTAAAAAGATACAAGGAACTGAGAGGTGAACGGAATTAGGGTGCATGATATGAAATTCCCAAAGAATCAATAAAGAAATTATGTTTTTTGATAAAGAAATTATGTTTTTTGATAAAGAATTCATATAAAAGAAGATACAAAAAAATTTACAGTACCATAACAGCAAGGTGTCAGGGGCCAGGTTGGGGCTCAAGTGGAAGAGATAAAAAAGAGCAAGGGACATTCAGGAGATCATGGCTGTTTTCTATCTTCATCAAGGTGACTGCTCCATTAGTCTACACACACGTCAAACGTTATCAAATCATATGCTATTAATATCTACAGTTCACTGTTATGCCAGTCAATCTGTAAGGCTGCTTAGAAGAAACCGACTTCATCCTTCGCTGAACTGTGTTACTAAGAGTGACTAGTTGACCTCTTTGTAATTTACCTCACCTGCAAATGACAATAATATTGGATTTCTCTGAAGCTTCAGAGTTACTATATTATGTGAAATAATTTTTAAATGAAGCGCCATCTCTATATAATTTCTTTAAAGTATCTGTTTAACATCCTAATAAGATAAAGCGAAATAGAAGCAATGCCCCCGACTTAAGAGATCTAGGAGATAGGCAAAGTGAAAAATGAAGGACAATAGGAAAACCCAGAAGGTTGAGGGAAGGTCTACAGATTAGGAAATGGTAATGCTAACTTCCTGGTTTTGATCATGAACCCTGATTGCATAACGGAACAGGGAAAACCGGGTGAAAGGTGTATGAAACTTGTTACAATCTAAAAATCCATTCAACGACAGGTTACAAAATATTTCTAGGGTACACCGTTCAAATACGATGATCCTTCTCAACTTTCTTGTCGAGTCTAAATGTAGGAACAGTTCACGCTGACTGCACACCGATTTCTTTCTTAACTTCTGGCGCCATAGGTTTATAGAGAAGTGCAGAACGCAGTGGCAGAGTTTGGGTCCAGGGGCCCACCGTACCTCTGGGATAGCCGGAAGCAGAGGTGTTCTGGGGAAGGAACCAGCCTAGGGGGTGCTGCCCGAAACCCAGCTTGGGGGCGTGGCCAGAAGCCGTACGCTTTGGCCTGGGGGCGTGGCCAGAAGCCGTACGCTTTGGCCTGGGGGCGGGCCGGAAGCCTAGTCGCTCGGGCCTCTGGGAGGGTTGTGGGCGGGCCGGAAGCGGTGGCACATGGGCCTGGGGGCGGGGCCCAAGCGGCGAGGCTTGAGCCTAGGGGCCGGGAAACGGGGAGGGGGCGGGGCCGGGGAACGGGGAGGGGGCGGGGCCGGAAGCGTTGGCACTCAGGCCTGGGGGCGGGCAGTAGTGAGCTCTCCGTGGTGCGCCCGGGTGGCCTTGGCATAGGACGCTCAGAGCTCTCAACCGGACAGCCCAGGTGCTAAGTGCCGTTGTCATGTCGTCCGTGAGCCCCATCCAGATCCCTAATCGCCTTCCGCTGCTGCTGACCCACGAGGGTGTGTTGCTGCCCGGTTCCACTATGCGCACGAGTGTGGACACGGCCCGCAACCTGCAGCTCGTGCGGAGCCGCCTGCTCAAGGGTACGTCGTTGCAGAGCACCATCCTAGGAGTCATCCCCAACACGCCCGACCCGGCCAGCGACTCGCAGGACCTGCCACCTTTGCACAGGTAGGTCGGGCACCCGAGGCCTCCCCGCCCGCGCCCTAGAGACCTGCGTGCACGGCTGTGTCTCCTCACTTGAAAAGGGGGAATGATGCCTTTAACCAATGACCGTTAGCGAGCTGGATAACTCACTGAGCAGTACCTGACAGGGGTAGGAACTCTGTGCTGTTGATTACCTGCCTGTTGCTGTTAAAAATCTGATCTGAGTCCTCGTCAGAGCCGGCCGGTTCCCTTCAGCTCCATAGGCCAGTGCTGTTTACTTCCTAGGCCCCTCCCTTCTCCCTTCCCCCACCCACCTTTCACCCTGTTCTCTTTCTTTCCTTTCAACTGGCCTCCTGTCAGTTTCAACTCGTTCTCCAGTTGAAACGCTATAAATGTAGTGATTTCTTTTTCTCCTGCCGGTGCCTAAACTGCGCAGTTAACTTTTGAGTGTTTTCTTTACACTTTATGCTACCCGTTTTCTCCACCCCTAGTGGCCTCCTCCTTGCAGGGCCTTTCCTGTTCCCATTTTCCTTGGGGTCTCTTCTTCAACCTTTCTACCCTCTCATCTCAACTCTGCCCCTTCTTAGCATTTTGTTTGGTTTGGTTTGGTTTGGTTTTTAGTTTTTCGAGACAGGATTTCTTTGTAGCTTTGGAGCCTGTTCTGGAACTAACTCTGTAGACCAGTCTGGCCTTGAACTCACAGAGATCCACCTGCCTCTGCCTCGGGTGTGCTGGGATTAAAGGCGGGCGCCGCCACCGCCCCTCCCTTCCTAGCATTTTTACCTTAGGCCCTGTTCTTGTCACTGGAGTGCTCCGTGTTCTGGCCTGAGTTCTGTGACTTGGATGGTAGATTTACCCGTATCTGACTCTTCATCTGCTGCTTTGAAACAGCATGTGTCTCTTAGGTGTGCTATGAAGGTCCTTCTGTGTAGACTGCTTTGCACCATGCCTCATGGATGGCTGTGCTCCCCTGGACTGTACAGTGATGATGGATGTAGAGCACTTGAAGTGTGGCTGATCTAATACGAGTTTTAGCACCAGAGTGGCTGTGTCCCAGAAAGACGGTCAACCCCAGGCAGTTTAGAGCGGTTAGTTACCCTAAATGTATCATAAATGTGCAGTGCACACTAGATTTTGAGAAAACTTGAAAATTGTTACCAAGAGTAAATGCTGGACTGCTAATATTTTGGCCATTTCATCAGTTACTAGTTTATTTGTGAATTCTAACATCACAGATCTAGTTCATATTTTTATGAACGGTGTTTATATAATGTGCCTTAGCAGAAGTTACCTTCAAGTTCTTCTCTCGAGTTCTTGCTCCATATATTGTACTGAAGGCATTTGTCCAATTTCGAGCACCCCCTTCCCCTCATTTTCAAATTAAGGGTTGCCTGACTCTGAATGGAGTTTGAAAAAAAAAGATTTAGAACCCCTTATTTTTACCTAAGTGGGACTGCATCACTTTGACAAAAGTTACAGCTTTTCTTCACGTTTCCAAAGGAGGCTGATAGCTCCTTAAAAACAAAGCGAACAGACGACAAAACAAATCCACAACAACTAAATAATGGTAGTTTACATTGTAACATCATGAAAAATTTTTACCTCCATTTGATCTGTTTCGGCTATTTCCTAAGTAGGGTTGGGCCTGAAGTTTCAGTCCTCCATGCTAACATATTATATTTGATATTAGTTTCCCAACATATTATCTCATTCCTTAAGCCTCTGCTTATTTCTCCCACATTATTTTACATTCTCTGTTCAACCACTTAGTTGAGGCAGAAGTCCCATGATTAAATTTTTTGATTTATTTCTTTTGGGGGGAGTGCAGTAGAGATTGAGCCTATAGTTCTCCTGCTTGCGAACCAAGTATTCTCTCATCACACTTTGTCCTCAGCCCCTTTGTTACTTTTTTAAAAAATATTTATTTATTTATTATGTATACAATATTCTGTCTGTGTGTATGCCTGCAGGCCAGAAGAGGACACCAGATCCCATTACAGATGGTTGTGAGCCACCATGTGGTTGCTGGGAATTGAACTCAGGACCTTTGAAAGAGCAGGCAATGCTCTTAACCTCTGAGCCATCTCTCCAGCCCCCCCTTTGTTACTTTTTATTTGATACTGAGTCTCACTAAGTACTCTGTGCTGGTGTCTGCTGTGGGATAATCCTTCTGTGCACTGTGAAGCAGTGTTGCTCTCATTGTTAATAAAAAGCTGATTGGATGATAGCTAGGCAGGATTTGGTGGGGGCAGAGAGAAGGCTGGGAAGAAGGGTGGAGTCTCGGGAGTCAGGAAGAGATGTCGTGAGATACAGAGTGAGCAAGATGGGATGTTCCTAGATGAGGTGCACAAGCCTTGGGGCAGCACATAGATGAACAGAAACGGGGTGATTTAAGTTATTAGAGCTAGCTAAAAACAAGCCTAAGCTATGGACTGAGAGTTAATATTAAGTCTCTGTGTGGTTATTTGGGAGCAGCAGGTGAAACAGAGTTAATCCCTATGAAAAACTCCGCCTACAAGCTTTGAACTCTTCTATAGCTCAACTATTGAACTGGTGATCGTCCTGCCTCAGCCCCCAAATACTAAGGATTATTATATACCTGTGCTACCAGGTCTAGCTTGGTTTATTTCTAATGTGTGCTGGATAGTTTTATGTCATCTTGAAACAAGCTATAGACTTAGTCAGGATTTCTGTTGCTGTGACGAGACACCATGACCACAGCAACTCTTAGAAAGGAGAACATTTAATGAGGTAGTTTACAGTTCATAGGTCCAGTCCATTTTCATCATGATGGGACATGATCTCATGGTGCTGGAGAAGGAGCTGAACCTGCTTCATCTTGACTAGGTAACAGGAAGTGGTCTGAGGCACCGGACAATATCTTGAGCATATACTAGACCTCAAAGCCCACCTTCACAGTGATACAATTCCTCCAACAAGACCACTCCTACTCCAACAAGGCCACACCTCCTAATGTTGCCACTTTCTTTGGGTGCCATTTTCTTTCAAACCACCACATCATCTGAGAGGAAGAAACTTCAATTGAGAAAATACCTCTGTAAAATCAGGCTGTAGGCAAGCATGTAGAGCATTTTCTTATTTAGTAATTGATATAGGAGGGCCCAGACCTTTATAGATGGTACCACCCTGGACTGGAGGTCCTGGGTTCTATAAGAAGCAGGATGAGCAAGCCATGGGAAGCAAGCCAGTAAGCAGCAGCCTTCCATGGCCTCTGCATCAGCTCCGGCTTCAGGTTCCTGCCCTGCTTGAGTCTTGCCGTGATTGCTTTTGATGATAAACTGTTAGATGGAAGTGTAAGTGAAATAGCCCCTTTCCTCCCCAAGTTGCTTTTGGTCGTGGTGTTGCATGTTGTTTTGGGGAGGATTGTGGAAGGACCTTGGAACTCTGGCCTACAAAGGCCATTGAGTAGTCAAAGCTTGGTGAGCTTTTCTGTGGGAACTTGGAAGATAAGAATGTTGAGAGCAACGCAGATGGTGGGGGCCTGGCTTATGAAGTTTCAGAGGAAAGCAAAGACTCCCCTGGACCTTCTGTGTGAAGAATCTGTGGTTCTGGTCAGCTGGAGCTGACGAGTTGGCTGTGATTAACAAGACAGGAGACCCACTTAAGTAAAACCTTTGCTTTGCTGAGACAATGGGTGCTGCTTAGCTGGGGCTGAAGAATTGTGATCAAGAAGGGGCTAACATCATTGGGATGAAATCTCCTGGGAACTGTTTCATCAGAGTCAGTACATAGAGGCTGTGTTCCACAGGTGACCAAGGTCTTACCTTGGTCTGGTAGCTGAACTTGGTTGTTAAGTGTCCCCCAGGTACTACCTGTTTCAAAGGCATGAAGGTGTCATGGAGAGCAGCTGGGGCCTGGCACTGTGTGGCAGAGCTGGAGTCCCTGAAGAGAGCCCAGGAGAAACTATTGGTGAAAGTAGAACCCAGCTGGACAAGAGACCCCACCATTTTCGAGAAGCCAGTATCATGGGATGGCTACCAAGAACAGCAGCAGTTTGGACGGTAGCCGATAAAAGACTCGCTCTTTGTGTTGCAGAGGGCAGAGCTGGAGAAGTGAGCCATGCTCCTTGGAGGAGCCTGGAAGATCATGTATGAATCCCAGATAATTGGACATTGTCTGATTTACACCTTGGAAGTTTGCTTTTCGCTTTGTTCAAATTGTGACTGTGCCCTGGTTCTTCCCTCTTGAAATAGGAACATATTTGTGATTTCACAGGAACCCACAGTTAGAAGACTAATTTTCAAAGAAAGTTTGTAAAAATATTTTATATTGTGATTTTGGTATAATGTGTAATCTTAAGGATGAACAAGAAAGTAAAGGCTATGGCTTAACCATTATATACTTGTGTGTTGAGTTGACAAAGGGTCAGTTGTCCTGGCTAGTTTTATGCCAACTTGACACAAGCTAGAGTCATTTGAAAGGAGGGAACCTCGATTGAGAAAAGACCTCCATAAGATCAGGCTGTAGGGCATTTTCTTAGTGATTATTGGTATCCTACTAACTGTTACCCAACTCTAGGTTGGGTTGCTTACAATTGCCTTAACTATATCTTGAGGGGATCCAATGCCCTGTTTGACCTCTGCAGGCACTGACATACATCTGACATGTACACATATCACCCCCCCACACACACATAGATACACACATGTATGTGTAAGTTAAAATCTTTTTAAAAGTAGAATTAGTCATATTTTAGGTTTGAGTTAGTAATTTTTTGTATTATTCTGGCTAAGTTTTTGAGGGTTACTAATTGCCTTCACATAAATAACTACAGATAACAATAACTAAATTCTCCTTGCCTGAAACTAGTAAGTCCAGTGATGTGCAGTCTTAACATTCAGATAGTGCCCTTGTTAGGTACTCAAAATTGGCAGTGCTGTTGATTTGTTTGTTTACATTGCTGGGGAATTTAATCTAGGGTCTCGGCGTGCAAAGCAAAGCACTCTCCACTGAGCCACACCCCGTTCTGATCATTTCAATGAGAGAGTGCCTATAAAAAGCCT